AAAAAAAAAAAAAAAAAAAAAAAGAAAAAACAAAACACGGTAGGAAGCACCACAAAAGCATCGTCGTCGTCGTCGACGTTGTCGCCAAGAGTCGCCAGGCAGCGTCTTGGGCCCCGTCGTGGCAAGCTGCAAGTGCTTGTTAGTGCGCTCGGGATTGACGTTGACTGTAGCCAAAGCTTAGAAGTGCCCACCCCTCCTCCTCCCCTGCCGTGGCAGTCGAATTCAGTTTCAGCCGCCGCCGCCCACCCTCAAGACGACACTCAGTCAGTCGCCCCTATTCTCTCTGGCACATACCCTCTCTCTCTCTCTCTCTCTCTCTCTCTCGCTCTCTCTCTCTCTGCTCTCGGCTCGTCTTGAGTTGCATTCCTTTTGCAATTGTTTGGGCGCTTTTGTTTTGTTCTGAATTTTTACACGAAAAAGTCATTTGAATATGCGTCGCGTTGTCCTGGCACCTCCTGTTCGACTGCGTCTCTCTTTCTCGCTGTGGATTGAAAGTTTTGTTAGCCGTCAGCTACTTTGCTCGTCGTGCTGCCTGCCTGCCTGCCTTGCTGCTTGCCCTCATGTTTGTAGCTGCCAGATCCAAGTTTTAGTTAAGGTTGAGGGCATGACTTGCGGCTGCCATTAATGTTCTTCGTGCAGCCTTGACAGGCGACTGCTGCAACAAATGGCGACAATAAACAGTACATTGTACATAAAACACTCTTGTGCGCGCTCATCAATGCGAGCAGGCGTCATTTGTTGCTGCTGCCGCTGCCGCCACCACCTCTCTTTGCGATTCTCATAGATTGCATTTTTCGGCTAGGTCAGTTCAGTCAAATGAATGTTGTGTAATCAAATAGTGTAATATTATGGGATCGAGTTTAATTTTTATTTTATAAGTGTTTTTTTTTATAGTTCTCTAATTGTAATCAATTTCCTGATAGTTATATGATTTCTATTTACATAATTAAATATATTCCAGAAAGCTTCTAAATGTTTACATGTATGAAAGGTATCTTATCGATTTTTAGTAAAAATCAAATAGGGAATTCTGTTTGCAGCCTTGAAAGATAATTAGACCATTTTAATTACCCTAGACTCCGATTTAATTCTTATGATTTTTCTGGAATTCCCAGTCCAATACCTACAGCCATCTAAGGCTGGAAACATGTGTGTGCATAGTGGGAGAGCAATAAATATGTGTCCTTTAAACTATATTGTGTATGTAGCATGCGTAACAAAATCGAGCGGCATGCACCGTTGCCATATAGTTAAGAGTCCTTTGGGACATTTTGAGGCTAATCTACTATCAGTATGGTGAATGTGCTTACCGTGCGCAGTCTTTAAGCGCACATTATCATGCTTACTGGACATATGTAGTGCTCAAATATCGTATTCAGTTTGCCTGCCAGCTACGTAAGCATTAACTAGTCGAGTCCTGGATGTGTTTGTTTTTCTCGGACTGGCCGGGTTAGGGGGGAGTGGGTGGATCCTGGCGCTTATCTTAAGTTTAGTTTTGCAACACATATTCACTAACCGAAATGCTGCTGCTTGGCTGGAGGACGCCTTTTGGCAACACCTCGACTGAACTTTGACCGTTTGGTAACTCATTTAGTAAGATTATTTACGGTAATCCAAGACGCTGCCAGAGACAGGACAAGCACACATGCTCAGATGGCGACTCTGGCTGAAGCAAACAGGCAACCCATAGGCTAAATACATGCAAGTTGTTTTGCTAAATTGTGCGTAAGCCAGCAATAGCATCAGCAACAACAATAACAACAACAACAACAACAACTGTAGCAACAACAAGGATCTGCCTGCGACTATGAAACTTTCTCAAGCTCTGCAAGGCAATTCAAATAAGACTTTTATGTTGCTTCCTTGCAACACTGAGTCGACGGCGGCAGCGACGACTCTTGAGGCTGGCTCGTAGCTGGTACGTGTTTGCGGCGTGTGTGTTACATGATTGCCACGCTCCCCCCTCTCCATGCCCGCCTCGACCGCCCCTATGCCCACATCCACAGCTGCTGCTTACCTTGGCAGCTTGTGCGTGCGCTCATTAGCATTCTGAAACGGCTTTATAAAATTCAACAAGCAACAATCCAACGAACCAACAACAACAACAACAACAGCAGCAAAGCAAACAAAACCAAACCGAACCATATTCAGCATCAGCCCAGCCCGCCCCCGCTGCCCTGCACACTCCCAGCCTCCGCTTTGGCTTCAGCCAGCCCGCCTACGTCGGCGACCCCGCCACCTGCCCAGTTCGGGCTGCATGTTTCTAGATCCTCTAGTCTGCATGTCTCTGTTTGTTATACTAAATACCCTGTATGTGAGGAGTCTAAAAGGGTTATTCGAGATGACAGCCTGTCTACTTTTTGGCTTTAATTAATTAGGCAGCTTTAAAGCAGCCAAAAAAGAAAACACTTGAATAATGAAACATTTCATCAACAACAATTTGGTGTAAATATGTGTGCATAATAAAAGCTTCAGGTAATTTAACTCTTAGCTTTAAGTCAGCTTTATTGCTTTTAGACTGTCCAAAATCGTTGAGTGCGGCTAATCTAACACAAGTATTCGAATTTTGCAAATACAATAAGTTAAAGCAGAGCAGATCAAAAGCTTTTATCGGAGTCGTATGCTCTATACAGTAGCCAAAACTGGGCTTTAAGCTCTATTCTCATGAAAGAAAGAAAAGGTGAAAGTAAGAATAGGTTTTTTATTTAGAGTTTAGCTTTAAACTAGCAAGTAAAGCTTTGAGCTTTAAGTAAGATTGATGCAATAAATGAACACAGTTCAGTGATCGCCTGCAAAGCTGTTCTAAATCGAAGATCAAAGTTGTTGCAAGTAACTAAATTAGTTGAAATAGTGATTAGTATTAAGATAACTATGCTTGCCAAAAGCTTTAAAGCTTTTATAGCTGTTTTAATAAGAAGGAAAGTTAGCTAAGGGGATGCTGTTGTAAAATTAAAAAAATGCTTAAAAGTTTGAGTTAATGAGTCGAGAAGAAGTATTGATAGGATTTCCGGTATACAAATGCGAATTAAAGCAGTTAAGTTTGAGCTCTTTTTATGCTGTTGCACAATGAGAGTTTTGAAAGCAGCAACTTTTGTGCAAATCTCTCGTACAGGATATCTTATAATCGTAGCTGTATAGCTATTTGTTGTTATTTTGCTTTTTATTGTGCACAGTATACACACACATACAACGACACGCATGCACGTCCTTATTCTGTTGTTATCCTGGTGCTGTCTGCTGTCGCTTGGTTTTTCGGTGCGCCTGCCGCTTGCCTTGCCTCGAGTTGCATAAATTGAATCTGAATTTGTGAGTAAATTGCACACAGGAGACACATTATTTTTGAGTTTTGCCTTTTAAATTTGTGGCTTTTCACTTTGTGAGAGACAATAGGCGAGCGAGTGAGACACCGAAAGGGGGATAGAAAGATAGGGGGAGGAGGTACGTCTGCTGTGCTCATGTAAGTGCAGGAGGCATTGCAACAGTCTCTGGCTTCAACTTTGTGTCACTTTCCGTTTGGCAATTTTGTGTGACCCACTTGAGTGGAGACACGCCCACCACTCAACGGCACTTGCCACCCACATGACCTAAAGGCTTAGCGCCCAAACCTCTCCGGCCACGCCTCGCTCCGCTCACAATTTAAATCAATATTAATAGGCGTAGGCCGCTTTTTCGCAATGCATTTGCACAAATTGCTTGTCTATAAATACGAAGAGAAATGTTTATTTAATATGTGCCAGGCGGTGTCGAGTACGTTCCAAAACACCGAGCCGGGTGCACGGCAGGACGTCTGCACCACACGCATAACGCCCACTTTTCCAATACCCAAATCCAATTCCATTTCCAGTTGCCCGAGCTCAAGCTTAGCTGCAGTTCGCATACGATTGTGTGTGGGAAGCTCTTCCATATGCAAATTGTTTTTATAAATTTGCAACAAGCTCTCATTGTTATTGCTGTTGTTGTTGTTGTTGCTGTTGTTGCTGTTGTTGTTGCTATTGCATAGCAATTTGTGTATAAAGTTGCCGCAATAAAAAGCCAAGTGGACAAGCAGCAGCTGTAGCTGGCCATCGGTTCCGCTTGGCTCTGCGATGGGAGTGGTATAATCAAAACCATAACAATCGCCACAATTGCAATAGAATCGTCGTTAATTACTGTCTGTGCTTGCGGTTAAGGCTTCCGCTACCCTCTTACCACTCCCACAGTTGAATTGGATACGTGTGTGTATGTGTGCAGCGCCTAAAAGAGCAAGACAAATACGAGCGTTGTGGCTGCTGTGTCTGGCAAAGAAGTTGGAGCCGGAGCCGGAGCAGCTGAAGGCACGGAGTCTGGAGCAGCAACGCCTGGCGCATCGTTAAGCGTCGCTGCCAAGTGGCAAAACTCAAATAAACATAAACGTGCACACACACAGTCAAGAGGGGGAAGGGTAGACGGGTTGTGGCACAGCCAAAATCTGTGAGCTGGTTTGTTGTCTTTGGCTCTGGCTCTGGCTCTGACTTTGGCAGGCGCTGCCTTTGGTACATGGGCATGGGAGACTCATTAAAATGCAGTGCGAGATAATAAGCATTTTAATTAAATATTTAACAAGAATAAGTTTATCACAACACGACACGGGAAGGCAGCCAGTCTCCCTGTATGTGTATGTGCGTGTGTGTGTGTGTGTGTGTGTAATGGCTTGTAAGCGTCTGTCAGGTCGAGCATTAGTCGAGCTCATTCGAGCCTTGGCAATTGGGCAAAATGGCTTAGGCAAAGAGCAGTCGACGTAAGCTAAACCCAGTCAGTCTTCGACTTGCTTAGCCAATATTTTTGATGTAATTTGAGCCTCTAATTGGCGCACGTGCTGCCTCGTACCGTTGCTGAATTTCAGTTGCCGAGTTTGTGTTGAGTTCAGCTTTATCGAGCTGCTTGTCAAATATTTAAGCAACTTGTCTAACCGTGTTGATATTTACTTTCATCTCTCACTCTCTCTCTCTCTCTTTGTCTCTCTCTCTCTCTCTTTTTTGCAGGGGCTTTGGCTTTGTCACATTCAGCGATCCAAATAGCGTAGATAAGGTACTCACCCAAGGCACACACGAGCTGGATGGCAAAAAGGTAAATCTCTCCCAACACATAACACATATGCTACTGCCAAAAAAATATATATACACATATATGCACCCACCAATCCGTAACTTGAGCCCGACTCTTGACAAACAAACCCAGCGGGAAACAAAATAGAAAAAACTTCACCAGCTATGCAAAATATTTGCACAAAGCAACTCGCGCGCTTCATAAATTGCCCCCGGTCCCTCGCTCCCTCTGTCTTCCTCTCTCTCTCGGTCGCTGCCACCCTCTTTCGCGCCCTCTCTATTGACAGCAATTAGAAACTCAAAGCAATGACAGGCAACTAACAAAAACAGCAAATCACAAAAGTTAAAAAACATGAAAAACACGTCAAAATAGTTAAAAAAAAAAAAATAAAAAAAAATAAAACCGGCAGAAGAAAGAAAACAATAACCTGTCTATGGAAAGCTTTTGCCAAAAACGTGCATTTTTTTAAAAGCCAAACAATTTTTAATTACGTGATGTGCTCGACTACAACGCGGGTGGTGCTGCAGGTGGTGCAGCTGGTGGTGCTGCAGGTGGTGCCCAAGCATCAAATGAGCAGCTACACTTTGTTATTTCGTGTGCTTTTTTAATAAACTGCGATTAAAAATTAAATATTGACCCTTCCAATTTAGCAACTTTTTAGATTTTACAATGCAAAAGAGAGTTGAAATAAAAAAAAAACTGTTTGAAATAAAGTAAAGTCATGTTCTGCCTAAATGGAATCCTTTAAAGAATCTTTATGTACAGATTTAAATAAGATTCTTTTATTTTTTTTTTTTGGCAGTTTTTCTGATTTGAATATTTAGGTACATTAATATATTTTTAAAATTATTGTGAGTCCTAAATCAATCAAATCAAATCAAGAGCTTTTCGGCTTTGACGTTTAGTTAAAGCTGATATAAGTTAAATATTCTATGATTTGTAGGTACAAATGAAGAATTGGGCTAAAAGTTTAGCAAGTCAACTCTAACTTTTAGTCAGATTTAAATATAGAACTAAGCAAAGCCATAAATAGCTGGAGTTTTGACAAAGCTATGGCAGTTTTAAAGCTAGTTAGAGTCCTAATCTAGAGAGTAGAGCCTGATATTTTCAAACGTATTGCTGACATAGATTATTTGCTTTGGAATGCGCAAATATAATATTACCTTATGTAAATTCACGGATCATCACATCATGAAAATTCGGACAAGTAATTAAAGATTAAAATTTGCCTTTAGCTAACTTTACAGTTCACAAATTTGCATAAATATATGTGTTGGTTTCAAAGTGCACAGTCAAGTGGAGGTTGAACGTTGTCCAACACTGGGCAATGCATGTCATTGATGAATTCGCTTTGATTAGTCGGATTGGCCGAAATTGGCGAAGACAGGCTGTCAGAAGACAGCTCGTATTACGCATACGCCGCATTGGCATTAGCTTAATTAGCTGACTGTGTGTGTCTGTGTGTGTGTGTGGCTGTGTGTGTGTTTGTTTGTGTCTGTGTGTGCATTTGTGTCTGTCCGTATTTGTTGGTCATTCTTTTATGGCAACACAGCTGGCCAACTGTAAATAAAATGCGCAGCCATCATTTATATGTATATTTATATCACTTTTTTTTTTTCAAACCAACTGCAGTTCGTACACACACCCGCACGTGTGTGTGTGTGTGTGTGTGTGTGTGTGTGTGTGTAGCACAGTGTTTCGTGTTTCCGTTTGGCTGCACAACACACAGCAGGGCAAAACTGAAAACGATGCGAATTCATTTCATTTCATTTCGTTACGCTTTTTCGGTCTGATGTATTTTACCAAAAAGTCGACGTCGACTTTGCCACTCAGCGCTGATTAGTTTTAATTTTAATCTAAAAATCAATTTCCCGCCAGGCGGCTGGCTGCCCCTGCAACGTTGTTCTTCTTGTTGTTGTTGTTGTAGCTGTTGCTGTTGTTTTGTCGTGCTGCACACAGGAAATCAACACGGCAAACTGCCGTCCTGTCAACATTTGCTGCTGTCCTGTGACAATTTCTGTGCGAATTATTATCGCCAGAGGATATTGCGTTGCTCCGCGCCCACTCTCTCCCTCTCTAGCTGCATTTATCTTTGCCAATATCTCTTCATTTTATTTGCGGCATTGGCTTAAGTTACCCGCACTTGCAGCTAAATGCAGCGCAAAGTCACTTCAAAAAAAGATTTAGTTTGGGGGGGACGCACAAAAATGAGACCCCAGAGACCGTACCAACTCCACAATCCGCCCCCCCTTGAGGCTTACCGGACGAGGACGAGCGCTGTCACTGTGTGTGTGTGTGTGTGTGTGTGTGTGTGTGTGTGTGTGTGTTAGGGAGCAGCCCGCTGGCTGGCATAACAGGAAGGAGCCGAAATGAGTGGCAAAGCAAAGCACTTAAAATTGAATTTTTATGATTTTTAATTATTTTTAATGACGCTGCTTATTGGCGCCGTCGGATTGCGGGGCTTCGCCGCTGGACGCGCAATTTGTTATGCGTTAATTCGTGCGTGCTCAGCTCCAAGTTGAGCATATACCGCAGACCATCATGACACCCACAGTCGTCCCCCTCGCCCCTCGCTCGCTCGTCCCGCACATCCCCTAGGAGTAATTCTCGCTTAATGCGCAATGCAGGCTTATGCAAGATTTATGCTCGGCTATTAATATGAAGAGTTGCTCGAAATGCTTTTTCATTTAAATGTCATTAAGCATACGATTTCCTTGCTACGCATTCCCTCGCTCTCTCACACATTCTCTCTATCTCTCTCACACACTCAATTTTCTCTTGTGCTTACAGGTGGACCCGAAAGTAGCTTTTCCGCGACGTGCACATCCCAAGGTAAGTACCCACAGAAATATTACCACAAACCAAAAAAAAAAAACGAAGAAAAAAAATTTTTTTTTTACCGAATTCTTGAGCAAAAGCTGAGCACTTGAGGGCGCATCTTGGGCGGGTTGTGGGCAAAGGATGTGTCATAAGTAGCAGCAAATGGCAGATGAAATTAAAAACGGAAGATGGCAACAACAATATTACTGAAAAAAAAAAAAACAAACTGGCAGGCAGATAACTTTGTGGCTGACAGGCAGCAACGGCGGCTACGGCTTCAACTCCATCTCCAGATACCCCAACCCCAATACCAACGCCAAGCCTAGCCCCCACCCTGCCTGCCATCAGCTTCAGTTGTTTCGCCTGCAAAGTGATGATGACAACAAAATTTCGACAGCAATGGGTGTGCGTGTGTGTGGGTGCCCGTTTAGGGCCTTCCTTCTGCCGCCATCCTCTATCTTTATCTGTGCCCCTGCCCTTGCCGCTGTCACTGCCTACTAAATGCCACACGCACATTTTGCTGCCTGCCACTGCGCTCGGTTAGACAGAGTTACAAATGTGCCTCATCTATGTAGCGCCTTTTTTTTTGCGCCCTCTTTCACGAAATACTCTAGCGAAAAAAAGGGAGCTACGCGTGAAGCATGACGCGTAACGGGAATATGCCCCAAAGGTATTTTGAATATTCAGCGATACTTTCCGAAACGGAAACCAAACTGTTCATGGAGTTGGGCAGACAAGTTGGGGGAGGCTACAAAACTACAGGTTGAGCAACGTTTGAATAAAAGTACGTCTTAGCAGAAGGTTGAAGTGGCAATTGAAAAGTCTACTTGACTTGATAGTCTACTCCTATAACGTATGCTCAGAATAATAATATAGTAAAAATGATAAGAATGGATAAAGTGGAAGGGACGAATTTTAATGATAATATTATGGGAAATAATAATAATATGCGAAACATTTTTAATTTTTCCAAAAGAAAATGTAGAAACTTAAAGCTAATAATTAAATTATAATTGACAAAAGCATCGCTGTGCCTTGACAGCTAAGCTTAAGTGTTAAGAAACGATGCCATTTATAATAAACAGTGTTGGAAAAGTAGTAACATTTATGAAATCAACAAAAGGTATTCTAAGCTTTTAAAGCGATGTAAGGTTTTCCAAAAGTGACAATTATATTTCATATACAAATAATGAGTATAAATTAAACTTTAAACTAATTAGGTTTGAGCCGTATTTTAACCAGGGTCGACTGTCGCATCGCAGAATATATTGTTCGCCTACAGCTCACACAAAGTCTCAGCATTCAGCTTCGCTTCGAGAGCCTGCTTTTATATAACTAGGAGCCTACGTTTTGCCTAACTTGGTATTTATTTTCAATATTTAAAAAAAACTACTCAATTTTTTATTTACAATTGCCCGCTCTGCTGAAAATATGACAAGTCATTTATATTTTCATATACGAAATACGGGCTAGATTTGATTTACAACCAAATTTTTCATCTACTTAATATGATAATAGATAGATAAATGCAAGGGTTGGAAGCTAAGTTGTTTTCGATTTGATGCTGGATCTTCATTTAAAACTTAATATTTGAAATCCAACATTTTTGTAGAATATATTTAATGTTACTTTCGGTTGAGTTTAATTTCTGGCAAAATATAATAAGTCAGTATGGTCTTCATCTCAACAGCTTTAGCTCCAATGATTTAAAGTTTCTTTTTGGGGCTAGAATAGTCATATGATTTGGCCAGAGCCGTTTCTGAAAAGTTGTCAGCAATATGCCGAATGGTTTCTTAGTAGATATAATCAACAAATTGTAGTTTAACGAGTATCTCCATTAAATCCATAACATCTAACTATTATAAATAATTCTGAGGGTAAAGTTGGCTTTGGGCTTAGCTGCTGAAATAGCTCTAAACTATTTTGTTTTACGATCTCTTTAAAGTTGAATCTTAGAATACTTTTTCTTAACCATAATTCTCAGCAGTCAGCTTATCTGTTATTATTCCAAGGGTATTTACTAATGCGGCTTTAACATACTTTTCGATTTAACGTGATGCTGCGACTAACCGCAAAGCACAGCCATAATACGCACACACGCACGCCAAGTGCGAAGGCCTGAGGCAGAACAGGACCTACCCGTCGGCAGCAACTTCTTAGTGTCCCTCAGTTTACCCTGTCTTTCCCCTCCCCTCTCCTCTCTCTCGCTTTTCACTCTCGCTCGCTTTGCTTATCAACACGCAGCTGATTTCCGTAGCTATTCCTGCGGCGCGTGTTGCCGTTGCCGTTGCCATTTACCCGCGTCCTGCCACACCTCCCGGCGCCCAGCGCCCAACAATTATTTACGTAATGTTATTATTATAATATTTTTTTAAACGCATTCTCACTGGATTTGCGCCCTGCTACGCAACGTAAGGCAGAGCCAGAGCAAGGACGAAGGACGTCGAGCAAGGGCAGGAAGCGTGTTGGGCTAAGGACGCAAGCGACTAGGACAACGAGGCTGGCTACGCGGCATTTGCAAGTGGCTTTGTGTTCTACTCTGCTCTGCTCTGTTTTCTGTTGGGGCGCGCGCGAAGATCCTCTCGCATATTAAAAGGCGTTTAAAAACATAAATCCAACGTCTAACGGCTGCTTATGAAAATTACGAGAAGAAAAAAATGAGTGACGGGAGAGGGGTGCAAACAACGAGGCGGAAGGCTCTAGATGAGCTTAGCGGGAGCCAACTGGGCGGGACAGGGAGGCTGGCAGGCAGGACGAACAGCGCCCTGCGTGGAGACAGACCCAAAGGAGTTGCTACGCAGCGCAAAAAAAAATTGCATGCGACATCAGAAGCGCAAAAAAGTAGAAGAGAAATAAATGTGAAAAAAAAAAAAACAAATAAAAAACGACTGACGAGAGGACAATTTCTCGCACCGTTTTGTCGGAGGCCCAGGCAGAAGGATTGCCCACAAAATGTGGCCCAAAATGTTTGCGGTTGCAGCGAAAGTTAAGAGCTGCTGTTTTTGTTTTTTTTTTTTCATTTTTGCTTTCTTTCTTATTTTTAAAGTAGTCATAGGCAGGCGACAGTTGGGTAACTGGGGACTGAGAAGCGAGCCATATAATGAAATGAAGCATACTAAATGAGGCTGCTAAGTTTTCAGCTGCTAGCATGTTGCCACACTCACACACAGAGAAAGAGAGAGAAAAGTGAGAGAGAGAGTGGGGGGCTCATAATGAAATGCGAAAAAATGATGATGATATTTTTGGACCATAAAATGCAGATGAGCCGACTAAGCACAAAAATAGTGTGTGGAGAGCCACAGCCGAAGCACATTTCGAGTAGGCCTTGTGCAGGGGTGTGTACTGGCTACGGGTTACATACACACACACACACACACCCACACACACACACACACACACACACACACACACACACACACACACACACACACACACACAGACAAACACGCGCGCACATTTTCATATTCACATATTACACATACGCCGTGTGTGTCGTCGCATTCGACAACTCGACGAGTCGACGACTCGTTTTCAACGTTTGTGCAAACTTTTGTGAAGTTAATTTCTTTGCTTTTAAGCTCTCAGACTATGAATATGAAATGTGTATTTGTGCAACTTGTGTGTTTGGCCAATGGGTGGCACCGCAAATCCCAGCAACACGGCGGCAGCTGGGCGCGGGCAGGCAGCGGGCGACGACTGGCTTACATATGTCATGTTAGAAAGTTCGCTTTAATGTGCAAAATTTTTGGTGGCCAAAGCCATAAAAGTGCATGGGATAAGTGAAATGGATTTCGCTCCGCTGTCCCACATAAGTATGCTATAAAAAACTATGCGCACAAAAACGACCAGGGAACACAAAGAAAAAAAAAAAACACCCAAACTGAACTATATAAACGGAATCTGTACGGACAGCAGAGTTGTCGCGCGTTGAACTTGGTGAGGATTTATGAACGTTTGTAAGCGGCATTTCCATGCACAAACCAACACACACACACACACACACATACGCAGGAAACAAGAAATCAAATGTTTCTTATGCAGCATTGAAATCTTGAAACATGTTTTACGGAACTCTAAATTCTGGAATCTAGAAAAGTAGCGATTATTAAAAACAAATAAAGACGTGGCATGATAAAAGGGCAGAAATACCACAATCTAATGCATTTATATATATGTGCCAGATATATATATCTTAGGGCATATCTATCTGTCTGTCTATGGGTCGATTTTCCCACTCCCATAACTTTGCCAAATCTCACCCGACTGTCAAGAGTTTTGGCTCTTTGTTCATGGTTCGGCCTCTAAATCAAATTGGCATCTAAATCTGTCAACATTATTTTTGGTCAAAATTCATGTCGAAATTGTACCCTTAAATATCTTATATAGTCACAGGTCTAATAACATAGCCATCTAATTTGTTATGAGAACGTCTCACAAGTACTTGAAATATTGTACAAACAAATAATCCAACTAGTTAGCCATTTATAGCTTCATATCTCTATTATCTTGAGTGCTTGGCTTACAATATATTTTAATTTGCGTTTGCAAAGCGACAGTTTGCAACACAGCTGACAATTATTTAACTGAAATGAAGTCTGCCTTGCAACATTCCTCAAATGTGCAGTTCAACTATATTCTGTGCAGTTGGAGGCAGGCAAATGGTGCCTGCAACCACATTTGTTCGAAAATGATGCCAACAACAAATGGGGAATGTGTTTAAATACTGGCCAAATGCAGCTGTCAAATAATCGATTGTGTGATGGAATCTGTAAGCCTATTGGGCTTAAAATTCAAAATAGATTACAAAACAGAGGCAAACGTAAAGTTCTGGCCACATAAGTATGCAAGGGCAAAGTATGTATGCAATTAAGGCGCAAATCCCGTCGGTGAATGTGTGTGTGTTGTGTGTGTGTGTGTGTTTTGTGTGTGTGGCTTCGATTGCATGACCATGTCATAATGAAGCACATTTCGGGGACCTGGCTAAATGACAGATATCAGCCATATAAGAGAGA